ATATCTTGTTCCATGAGACAATGAGCCATGAGCATAATAACATGCTGCATTCCAAAACCCAGTAGAAGAAGCAATTGTCTCTCGATTTAATTATAGATTCTTCACTTTCCCTTAATTGCTTGAGTCAGCACTGTTGATTCTGGGGCAGTCACCATACACAGAGCTATTGCTATGAAACAAGGTGTGACTATCAGGTAATGAGGTTTTGATTTTTGCTTTATGTTTTTAGACAAACAAACCCTCATGTACATATTCAAGTAAGTGTTCCTGTTAAAGGTGTCCCCGGTAGCAAGCTTTGCTTATGTTAACTCTCTTTTCTAACCAAATATTGGGAAATGTAGTGTGGCAAGTAGGGGTGCTCTTATGGGGGTAAAGGAACAGTCTATTTAATATTAAAGCTCTGATATAAAATATAAAACCTGAGATATGTGATCCTCATAGCTATAGGGGGCCCAGACAGCATTTGGGACAATGGTCGTAACACTGTTGGAAATACACAAATAAATGACCCCCAGAGAGAGGGTTTTATCTGCAACATACATATTTTCCTGGAGAAAAAGATCCACGTCTCTTATCCACCTTCCCTGACCTCATAAACTCAGGTTAAATGCCTTGCACACCAAAGGTGTTCAATAAGTATTTGAGGGACATTTGTCCTACCCTATCACAATACTTATATTTATTCTTCAGAAAATAAACCACGGAGTCCGTATTTTCAATGGAAATAAACCTTTCGCGCCTAGTTTTGTTATCTTTCCTTCCCGGTATTGTTTCTCCTACTTATTCGTATGACTAACAGCTAATAAACTGTCATTCAGCAAACATTTATTGAGAAATGACTGATACCAAGCCCTGGAGAAATCTGGAAATTCCACGGACGTTCTTAGTGTCCAGACATACAGAAGCTCGGGGCCAAAGGTGTTGTGCAGCCTTCTACACCAGCATGATTTGGTCAGCTTTTTACTTTCAAAGAACACAGACTTTCTCATGTCGCCCCAGGAAAGAAAGAGAGTTATTACAAGGACCCTTGGAACTGAAATATGATCACATTCTCCCAGTCTCTTCTTCTCCATGGTCTTTCTGTTTATCTTGATAAGTCTGTTCCATTCCTCCTCCATAACCCAATTTCTCTGCTTCCTCATAACTTAGAGGATGCATGGCCTATTGCAGTGTATTAGTCAAGGAGAGCTAGTTATGCTTCAGTAACCCCCGACCTCAGTGGCCTAAAATAGCAAAGGTTTATATCTCACTCTGGCTACATGTCCACCAAGGGTTAGCTGGGGAGAGGGGGAATTCCTCTTATCACAGCTACTTGGGAACCCAGAATGACAGAGCAGTGACAGTCTTGAAAAAGGAACATGAGGAGGCATGTGCTCTTAAAGTGTCCACCATATGTCACTTCTGCTCACATTTCCTTGGCCAAAACAAATCACTGACCACAACTAACTTAGCTGGGTGGGGATGTGTAATCCTACCAAGACCCTGATTGGAGAGAAAGCCCAAATATGCATAAATAGCCTTAATCACCCTCATTAAGACATCTCTAGCCCAAGACTGCAAACCCCTTCTGGTTTCAGCAGCCACAGCTAATGATTCACATTTTCCATGTTCCTTCATTCAACGTGCAGTGAGAGAGAAGCTGAGAATCCCAGTCCCTCTGTCTGACAGGCTGTAACTTAGGTCCCTGGTTAGCCTATGAATCTGTCCTTGAGTCATGGCCAATCAGCTGGGAACAGGGATATACACTGTAGCATGTGGCTGTCCAGCCCAGCCCTTTTGATCCTCCCCAGCCACCAGGAGACCTGTCCAGCACGGAAGAAATTGTTTGAGTTAAGTCATGATGTTTGTTTGTCCTAGCTCTTGATGACACAGAGGTCATGGATGTGCAGTCCATCAAGCTGGGTGGGGTCTGGCTGTTAGGCTGTTTATGGAGCAAACTCTCAACAGTGATGAAATGGAAATTACTGAGCCCAGGGACCTGCTATGTTAACCCATCAGTCTAGGGATAATGATGTGGTACTATGGGATTTTAAAAAATTGGCTCTATGTAGCTCTATTTCCACACTTGGACACCCCAGTCTTCCTCCTCTGCACGTAGACTTAGGTGGGAGGTGCAGGAGGGAAACAGAAGTGATTGGCTTCAACCAAGAAGACCTGAATATGTGAACCCTGAAATTCAAGTCCCATATGCCCCCCATCTATCTTTCCAGTCTCATGTCCCAGTTCACCCTCCAAATAAACCTACTGTCCAACCACCATCAAACATTCCTTGTTTTTCTCTCGGCTCATACAATACCCTTCTCTTTAACTGCTACCCTTCCTCTAAAATCAGTTTGTTTGTTTGTTTTTTTAAGATTTTATTTATTTATTTGAGAGAGAGAGCAAAAGAGCACAAGCAGGGGGAGCGGCAGAGGGAGGAGAAGCAGCATCCCCGCTGAGCAGGGAGCCCAATGCGGGGCTTGATCCCAGGACCCTGAGATCATGACCCGAGCCAAAGGCAGATGCCTAACCGGCTGAGCCACCCAGGTACCCCTCTAAAATCAGTTAAAAAACTACCACTTTAGGGGCACCTGGGTGGCTCAGTTAAGTGTCTGCCTTCGGCTCAGGTCATGATCCTGGGGTCCTGGGATCAAGCCCCGCATTGGGCTCTCTGCTCAGCGGGGAGCCTGCTTCTCCTTCTCCCTGTGCCTGCCTCTCTGCCTACTTATGCTCTCTCTGTCAAATAAATAAAATCTTTAGAACAGACAAAATAAAATAATTTAAAAAATGAAAACCACCACTTCTCAGAAAAGTTTTTTTCCGTCTGCTATGACCTGTGGTCATTTCTAGGACTTCCTCCTCTGAATTCTTCTACCCCGGCTCATGCTGAACACCTGGAAGGCATGAACATGTCTTACTCATTTTGGAATCCCAGAGCTTGGTGCCTGCCTAGTATATAGGAGGTGCTCACCAACAGTGTGTTTAATGAATTATCTGTAGCACCAGACATTTCAGGAAACTTTAACGAGATCCTCTGCTCTATTAGGCACCGTGTTGGAAAGTCAGTAATATACGATCTCTCCAGGAGTTTCCTTAGTTTGGTTGCCTGGTTTCATAGATGAGAAAATTGAGTCCCAGAGAGGACAAATGATTTGCCGTCTGCCACCCAAACAGCCACTATCGACCGAGCACTTTGCTATGTGCTAGACAAATGCTTTTCACTCTTTATCTCATTTTCATCTTGTGACAACGCTAAGAAGGGAGACTTTTTACACCTACTTTTACAGAAGAGAAAACGGGGGCTTAAAGGGGTTGTAACCTGGCTAAGGCCACATTGCAAGGAGGCAGCCAGGCCAGGTTTGGATTCTGCCGTCTAACTCCTGAGTCCCTACTCTTGCTTGCCCCCTGTGCTGAGCTCCAAGCTAGGGAGTCAGCTCCCTGTGGTCCACGCATCCATCTATTGCCCAGAGGCCTTCAACCTTTTCTGTGCTCCAGTGGCTGGGTTGACATAGGGTGATTACAGGGTCTTGGTGAATTTCTGTGCCAGGAGGCTCCTATGCACAGAGGTCTAATGTTCTGACCATTAGTTCAGGGTATTTTTTCCCGCCTGGGCAGTTGGGTTAGTGGAAGAAACCTGATAAAATCCTGGAGAGGAACTTGGTCATTCTCTGAAGGACTTACAAGTCGTTTGGCCTGCCTGATCTGCTCAGAAACCGTCTGGGGAATATTCGGTATCCATGTAATACAGGTTGTGAATTACTCTGCGGAGACTGTTAACAAGACTCTCACCAACTCTGCTTCGGCCAGTGTCAGACAGGGCCCTAGAACAGCCCCCTTTCTTCCCCTCCCACCAAAGCTCTGAAAAGAATAGGGTTTTCTCTCTTGGGGGCTGGGAGGAGTGAGAGATGGAAGGGAAACCCTCCTGCCTCCAAGCAGAGCTCACTATACACAGCTGGACCTGATCCCTCCTCGGGGCTATGGCTGTGGATACAATGACTTAGCTGGGATAACACTTAGCCAGCGTTTTGGCAACCTGGTAACTGAGCACCTAAACATGGAAAAAGGCCGACTCCCTAAAATCAGTGCAAGAATAATGACAAAGAGTTAGATCTGGAGGCACCTCAGGGATCATCTACCCCCTGGATTTAAAAAGACACTGAAGCTAAGTTACTTGTCAAGGTCACACAGCTGCTGGTGATAGAGATGGAAGACCATGGTGCCTGAGTCTAAGCTCAAAGTGCTTTCTCAAACTCCCACCCACCCACCTACACACCAACACACACAGCCTACCCTTTGCCATACCACCACACACAGGCACATGCACAACTAAGCCAACTAGGTCCTGTGTCCCTAAAGTCTTTGACTGTCCCTCCCCTGGGGAGAAGGGCACTCAGAAGACAGATTCCCAGACATCCTGACCCGCACCAGCAGGAAAGTCTCAGGAGGAGTCCCCAGGTCTTCCTCTCAACTCTCCCTTCCCTCCTCCAGAGAGGGAGCACCCAGATGACACCTGGCAAGCTGAGAGCTGCGGGGGAAGCACACGGGGCGGGTGCGGGGAACGCGCCGGGCTGGGGCCAGGCGCGGCGGCTGCTGGGGGCCCCCCTGGGCCGGATGCTGAGAGCGCGGGGGTCTGGCGGCTCCCCCGGGCGACGCGCACCCACTACCTGCCCCGCTCCCCCGGCCTTCTGGGGCTCGGGAAGGCCCGGCTGGGCACCCTGACGGCCGGGCGTGGGCCCCGGGAGGAGGGGGCGCGGAGGGCACAGGGCAGAGGTCAGCGCCTCGGCCCGGCTGGGCCCTAGCGAGGCCCCGGCACCCTGTCCCTGGCGCGCAGGTTTGGAAACAGGGCGGCCTCGCCCGGCCGCCGCCTCGGCGGCTCCGGTCCCCATATATAGTCATATCCACCGTCAACTGGGAGGCCGGCAGGCGGCAGCGAATGGGCGCGCGGCCCCCGCGGGAAGGAGCGGGGAGGGGGCAGGGGGCGGAGGGAGGGGGGGAAGGGGGCAGGAGAAAAAAGCTTTTCCAAAAAAGTATTGGCTGTCTCGAGGAATGCGGTCGCCCCCTTGGGAAAGTACATATCTGGGAGCAGCAGGCGGCTCCGCGCTCGCACTCCGGCTCGGCCGCCCCACCGCGCGCTCGCCTCGCCGCTCCCGCCGCAGCCCCAGGGCCCCTCGCCGCCGCCACCATGGACGCCATCAAGAAGAAGATGCAGATGCTCAAGCTCGACAAGGAGAACGCCTTGGATCGAGCCGAGCAGGCGGAAGCCGATAAGAAGGCGGCGGAGGACAGAAGCAAGCAGGTCTGCGCCTCCCCGGCCCTGCGCCCGCCCGGGTGCCCCCGAGCCCTGGGCGCCTGGCACCCCTTCCCGGCCGCTCACTCCGAGGACGGGGACGAGCCGCCCCCACTCCTGGGCCACCAGGGTCGCGCAACTGAGAAGGGAGAGGGGAAGAGCAAGACTCGGGCTTATTCTAACTCTTTGGTCTCGTCTGGGGACCTTTATTTCCCTCCTCTGCTTCCCAGAGTCCGCGAAGTCAACTCAAGTCCTAGAGGCACTTGACTCTCAGGATCGGGGATCAATGTTGTATCCGGGGGGGATGGATGAGGGGAATCGAGTCCAGAAAGTGTTAGCCATTCTTCTGGACTTTTGACTGGAAAGAATAAAACTGGGATAGAGATTGGGCGCGGGGGGCGGGTAGTCTTGAAGTTTTTTCCTAAGAACAAAGATGGGACAGAATAGAGAGTACGGCCCGAAGGCCAGGGAGACAGGGGCGTTTTTCTGCACCCCCAGTTGTGGACTTGAGGCCGCTGAGGCCTCGGCAGGAGCCTCGTCCCGCGGGAGGTGGGGGTGCAGGTTGGGCCACAGTGCGGTTCCAGCTTCGGGAGAGAAGAGGTTACTTAGAGACCCTTGAACCCCAAATCGGCGGCGCCCCAAGCCGAGGGGCTCCAGCCAACCAGGCGCTCGTGTGTTGTGTGTGTGTCTAACACCCGGTCCGTGCCGGCCGCCCGCGCCCGCCCGCCGCTGCCCCCCCAGCTCGAGGAGGACATCGCGGCGAAGGAGAAGCTGCTGCGGGCGTCGGAGGACGAGCGGGACCGGGTGCTGGAGGAGCTGCACAAGGCGGAGGACAGCCTCCTGGCCGCGGATGAGGCCGCCGCCAAGGTACCCGGGGCGCGCGGCGTGGCGCGGCGCACGAATGGCTAACTCTGTCTCTCTCTTTCTCTCTCCCTCCCTGTCTTTCCCTCTCTCTCTCTCCCGCTGTCCCTGTCCTTCTGGTTCTGTGCACCCACACCCCTCCCCTGCGGGATCACGCTGCCTGCTGCACCCCACCCCCACCCCTCCCCGTCCCCCACGGCCAACTCCCAGCTGGAAGATGAGCTGGTGTCGCTGCAAAAGAAACTCAAGGGCACCGAAGATGAACTGGACAAATACTCCGAGGCTCTCAAAGATGCCCAGGAGAAGTTGGAGTTGGCGGAGAAAAAGGCCACAGACGTAAGTGCACGCACACACTACCTCCCTCACCTCCTGCCCGGTGGCCACTCTGCGGTCACCACAGTGGCCAAGGAGCAGTGGAGGAGGGTCACCTCCTCCTGCTGGACATCCGCACACAGCCCTGATATGGCGCAGAGCACTGGATGCTGCCTCCGACTTCTATTGCACACATTCATTTATATTTCATCCACTCCTCTTTTTCTCCTTCTTTCCCCCACTCCTGGGGGTGGAGGTGGGCGGGTGAAAAGCTGGGAGTGGAGTGGCTGAAATTGGATGCTGGAGGTGAACCTTACCTCCCTGGTGGCAGAAAACCTCTGAGGTGTCATCACCAAGGTTTGTGCAAACAGAATGCCTGGTTTTCTTTACTTTCTTTCCTTTGCCGCCTTAGGTGGGTGGGAATGCCTGGTTTTCCATGGTGAGTCTAATCAGGGTACAGAGGACCTGGCCTCTAAATTGAAGGAATGGCATGGTGCTACTTTTACTTATTAGGCTGAGCTTGATGTTGGAGTGCAGAGACCCCTTAGGCTTCCTTTCTCACTAGGGAAGCCTTAATCCAGCCCTTAAGATCTGCCTGGGAAGATGATACTTGCTTGGGTCTGCAGTCTGACAGCACTAGATCCTGAAAGTACCCTGGGAGTTATATATAGCTCAGTGCTTTATATGGTATAGTGAGCTAACTGCCCCCTGCCCCTCCTGCTTGCCCCACCCCCACCTGTCAGCCTTCTGACAACCACCACATAGTTTCAGGGGTGATGCACATACTGCAAAAACTCTACCAGCACTTTGTCCACTGCACTTTGGAATCTTTTTCGGTGAAGAGCCTGTCTCTTCTGCCCCATAAGTCAAGCCAAGCATTAGATTTCCAAAGGAACGACTTCTTTTCATACTGTTGGATTCCATTGTAGAAGCTCATTAAGGCTAGAGGCCCAATTAGGAAAGAATTCCTTGGGAAGTTAGTAACAATTCCAAGAATGTATGAGCATCGGGGAAAGCTGTGCCCAGAAGTTGAACTACCAAGCACAAAGGCAGAATTTCTTGTATGAGAGTAAAATGCAAATTGCTGGAGGGTCTTGGGTCTTGAAACCAGTAAAGGCTTTTTGTGGCTTGAAAGGCTTAAAATGTAATCTCCAAGCATGCTTTGTAAATGAGAAATCCAGACATAGGACATTTAGAATAGACAAAAATATTTCAATGACCGTCAAGATTATTGGAAAGGGGTTCAGAGAAGCACTGACTTAGCTAAAACATTAAAGTTACAAACTACCTGGCTTTAGAAAAAGAGCCAAAAAACACACATAACTCGGCGCCTGCTTTGTATAATGTAGATCAGATGTCTGCTCCGTATAAGGTTAAATGGAGGATGTCTGTCTCCCCCAAATTCTCCAGCAGGACGTTTATTTAGCTTTTTCAAAAGAGCCGCTGATAGATCAAGGAGAGATATTCCTTATAAGGAAAAGAATGCAGAGAATTTGAAAATAGCCCAATAAGACTGAAGGCAAGAGAAGGAGAAAAAAGCTACTACAATTCTTAAAGGGAAAAAAAGATCACAATTATTAACTATGTAGTGCTATCATGTCCTTATGGAAAAGTCTTGTTTAAGGGAATGCTGGAATGAGGTGGGGCAGAAGTGGAAATGAGGATATTTAAAGCCACCTTGGGGGGGGCGTGGTTAGCAGGGGAGGGAAATTTTTGAAACTGTTTTGGTTCTTTTTTTTCCTGCCGGAAAACTGTCCCTAATATGGTACTTTTCTTTTTTTTTTCTTCTTCCTTTTTTTTTTTTGTAGTATATTGATCGTCTTCCCTTTTAAGACATTTTAGGTTGTTTGGAACCTGTAGGGATGTTGAAGAACATTTGTGAAGAAATGCTATATTTAAAGTGATTCCTAACTAGTAAAAATAGCCAAGACTTAAGGAGAAAGAGACTGATATCACTAGAGAAAGAGGGAGGTAGGTCAGCTTCCTGAGGTAGCTTCATACTACATTTGGAATGAGGATACTTTACTGTCATTACTCACCAGTGTAAAAATATTTTCATTTTTTCCTACTACTAAAAACGTTTTTCTACTTATTTACCAACATACTTTACATATCTTATTCCAGAAGGAGGGGGTCTTTCTAGCTTGAAGGATTGTAATTCACAAGGTAGCACCTTGGTGGTTTTGGTGTGAAATTTTTGGTGTTCCACCTAAATGAGCCTGAAGGGGATCAAAGGTTCCATTTTCTCTCTGGCCCCCCACTCCTTCCCCAATAATTGTGATGTATCTAATATTTGCAGTATGTGAGTCTTTATTCCTTGTAGGTTTTTGCTTCCTAAATCGGTAATTCCCCACCTTACGTAAACAGAATCTCCTAGGGAGGTTTTAAAATCCCTAATCCAGGCTGCACCCCAGGTCAATTAAATCAGAACCTATGGGAGTGGAACCCACGCATTAGTATTTTTTAAATGTGCAGCCAAGGTTGAGAACTGCCCTAAACTCTTATATAATGACATCAGCATGAAAATAAACTCACCTGAAACTGTCTTTCCCAGGTGTTTGAAAAGCAGGACAGTAAGTCATTAGTTGGCTGCCGAGAGCACTTGAGAGCACTTGCAAGTGTCCGGCAGTTTCCCTGGCTCCTCCTGGAGGCCCCCAGACGCCCCCTTCCTCCACCTTCAAAGTTGGAGGCCCACAGTCTGTACTCCTCTAGGGGAGTTGTAACCTCCCTCCTGACCAGATGAACTGTGTGGAAACAAAGCCAGAGGCTCCACCTACAGGACATGAGGGCACATGCTGAGGTTTGTAAGAGTCTAGCAGAGACTGAGACAAAGTCCAAAGAAAATGAGTGGGGGAAAGCAAAGGAGGAGGGGGGGGTGTCAAGTATATTTTTTATCCTTCATTATTCCCACACTTAAACACATCAGAAATTGACTTGAAGGGCCTCCTGTGAGAAAGGTGAGGAAGAGAGCCGTGAGACTTAAAAGGCATTTAAAAATCAGCCCAGTGGGAGAATTGGCAGAGGACGGTTCCCAGAGATTGGGTTTTCATCCAGCTGTAGCCAGAGGCTCTCATAGGGTTCTGTAGCCTTCACGGCTGTGCTTTTTTAAAGGCATCTCAGTCCAGCCCAGAATTGGTCGAATTCCAGAAGATCTCTGAGGCTGATCTAAAACCAGAGAAGTTTGTAAGTATAAGGGACCCTCGAGATGATTGTTTTTATGGAAAGGAAAGTGAGCCCCAAAGAGGCTCTGGGCCCTGAGAACACAGCTGGTTATGCAACCCCCGCCTGACTCTTAAGACAGTGCCTGCATCTGTATCACTAAAGCGATCATTTAACTATGTACAATGTATTGTGCTAAGTGCTTTGTATGATTTCATAATCCTCGCCACAGCCCCATGAGGAAAGTAGTACTATTAACCCCACTTTTATAGATGAAGCCCAGAAAAGTCCAGTTATTTGACCAAAGTCAACAGCCAGGAGAGATCTAGGAGCCAGATTCTAACCTAGGAAGGCTGCATTTAGAAGGTTTAATCACAATGCAATATGTTAGTGGCTTCCACTTCGCGCGTTTGGTGAGGGAGGAAGGTTGTTGTGGTTAGGCTCTTGCGTGCTGGGGTTCTTTAGGTCCCTCTGGGGACACATTCTGGCCCCAAACCCCTCGTTCAGCTTCTCTCCCTCGCCGGCTTGGGAATCCAGAACTCCTGAGTGCGATGCTCCCGCCGCCAGTAGGCGGCACCGTCGCCCTTAACAGCCAGGTCCGTTACCCTGGGTCAACGTGGAGCCAGGGAGGGGCGCTGGGAGTCCAAGTAAAATCCCTGGCACGCTGGCCTGCCACCCAGCCGTGCCCAGCTCTCCAGGTGTCCCTCAGCGCGCCCACCCCCTCCACCCGCCCGGATGCCGCGAGCATGCGCAGTATCTCCCCGGTTCGCAAATTCCCGGGGTCCGCGGCGCGCGCCCCGCCCCGCCCGCTGTGCCCGCCCCCGGCGCTCGCGCACCCGCCTGCGGTTCGCCTGAGCCGCCCGGGAGACCGCCACTTCCGGGCTAGTCCTGGGCCGCTGGGGGCGCCGCCGTTGCGCGGCGCGGCGCGGCCTGGGCGGGGCGGCTGGGCGCTCAGGAGCGCGGCAGCGGCGGCCGGAGCGCAGCAGCGGGCCTCTCCCACCGCAGCCCGCCGCCGCCGCCGCCCCGAGCGATGGCTGGAAGCAGCTCGCTGGAGGCGGTGCGGAGGAAAATCCGGAGCCTGCAGGAGCAGGCGGACGCCGCGGAGGAGCGCGCGGGCAGCCTGCAGCGCGAGCTGGACTACGAGAGGAAGCTGAGGGAGACCGTAAGGGACCCACCCATCGCCCACCCACCCCCACCCAGAGGCGCCTCCGCCGCACTCGGGCCCATTGCGAGGTGCAGGGCCCTCCAGAGCCCACCTTCCCCTGCCCCCACGCCTCCGGGCGTGCACCTGGCGCACCTGGGGCAGCTGGCGTCTGGTTCTAGGGAGCGGCCCTGCCTATTCTTTTCAGCCCTTCCTTTCCATCTTAGCTGGTTTAAAGTAAAAGCTCCGAGGGGAAGCAGGAGTGGTGTTGAGAAGGTTCTGGAAGCAGCACTTTCCCAGAAAGGGCTCTATTTGGGGGTTTTTTGCATTCGGCCCTGGTGTCTTGGGTCCCCCGGGATGTGCACTTTGCGCTGCTAGCCTTATTTACTCGAAG